AAATTTAAACAACCCCGCAGTGATACTTGCACAACATGTGATCGACTGGAAAATCTGATTAATAATGCAACAGATGGTGTTAGTACACATACAGTTGAAAAGGAGCTGCATCTGAGGAAAGCTGAAGCTGCTAAAACATTAAAAACTGAAGCTATAACTCGTTTCACGGATGACGTAGCGACAGCAGTGGTATGCTTTGAGGTGGAAAAAAGCTCTTCCAACCCCAGACCTCACTTGCAGTAAGGTGTTTTACAGCAGGTAGTTGTGGACGTACAATTTTTGCGTCCACGATTTAAAAAGTGGTAAAGCCATAATGCTTATGTGGCATGAGGGGCAGAGTGGTCGAGGTTTCAAGGAAGTGACATCCTGCTTACTTAAATATATTGAAATGTTACCTTCCAAGAATATTATTACATTGAGCGATATAATTGCGGACAATAGAATAAGAGTGTTCTTATCATTCGATTTTGGTCTTATGTCGTAGCCAAAACCGCTATAGAGTCCGTAGATCACAATTTTTTTGTGCCAGGTCATTCTTTTATGGAATGCGACCAGGGTTTTTCCGTCATTGAAAATGTCAAAAAAACAAGTGAAGCTCGGGATTGTTGTCGATATGGCAGATAATTTTATCTCCACTTGATAAATTACTTATATCAAAAATAATCGTTATACAGAAGATGGTATGGTTCCGCCATCAAAAGAAAGATCCTTTTACCTTACTGTACAAAACAGCGTTTGGTACCGAGGTTTTGTTTGACCAAAGAAGCCTAAGACCTCCAACAAAGGGCAGACCACTAAGTTCTGAAATATTTCCAGATCCTAAAAGAAAAACCAGGCAATAAAATCCAATTAATCCGGCCAAGTACAAAGATCTTCAAAATCTCTTGGATTTTATAGGTAAGGCCAATTTATCATAGATCTACAAAGAACTGACAACATCTCAGCCGAACAACGGAAGAAGAAGAAAAAGCAAGTTGCCGACAACAATGATATTGAATAACAAGACAACATATTATTCACAGACGATGACGACTTAAACCATCTGTTTTTTTTGTAAAATATATCGTCATCCTAGCTAACTGGTTTTTATTACCATTAACCTTTTTTTCACAGGACAAGGGGGATAAGTGTTGTACCTTATCAAAGATTCAATTTGAAATCGTAGGCTTCCACGGCCAGAGTCAGAATTATAGTTTATCCGTCTTCCGGGTTTGGACCGTGTCATTTGTGAGTGACCCAAAAGTGGGTTCATCTCGACGTTTCGCGTCGAGATGAACCCACTTTTGGGTCACTCACAAATGACACGGTCCAAACCCGGAAGACGGATAAACTATAAAGATTCAATTTGTAACGAACATACTATTGTTGATATTTTTTTCAAATTTGGTAAATAGATAAACGAAGTCCCATATAGTTTGAAAATATAAAAATTAAAATAGAGAAACCTGTCTAGGAATTATCATAACATTTAAACTTTAACCTTCATTTTCTCAAAATGCGATAAACCTCACTTACCCCTCATGGCTTCTCGATACCTCAATTTTTTAGTTGTTTTTTTTCTTATAAAAGTAATAATTATGCTTTGTTAATGTTAAGTTAATTATTGTTTTCCAAGCTACCACAGCTAAAAATCTACAAGAATTGGATCTAAAACTCGAATATAAGTGTTCGAGATTTTCTTTAAGTTTACCGACGAAAAGTTGGCGACAAAATAATTTTATGAAAAGTTATATTATACAATCGTTAACATAATATAAGGGATGCCCTTCATGAAGTTAAACATCGAGAGAATTATGATAATAATTATAATAATACAATCTTTATCTTGCAGACACAAAAAGTTTAGCGAATTGTAAACTGTATATTCTCCCTATTACATAAAATATGCCCATATAGTACAAACTTATATAATTATATTTTTTTGAATTATATGTTGGGCTATTAGGCAGGTATAATTTTATATTAAAAGTAATTTTTATATAGTTTCTTTCCATGTAAAAGGACAAAAACAAACAAGTGGGTAAAGATAGGGTCATAATAAATTTTAGAAGACGGTTTTTAAAAAATCATTCATATTTTTACCGAAATTTAAACACACAATATGATGTAATATTACTCTGAAACGTTGTAGGTCTAGTCATCGTGATTTTCATTTTTTTGGAATGCCGATGTCGGTCAAAGTTCATTTTAGGAACATCAATTTCGTTTTAAATATGGAAAATTTTTAATACGTAGTTATTGCTGTTAGCTTCACTAATTACTTTTAAATATATGGATTTTTGTGTTAATTATTTAATGAAAATAAAAAAATTTAACAAGATAAAAAGTTGTCTTTTTGTATATTTCCAGGTAGTTTTCCATTTCAAGTTTCATACAAGGAAAAAAAATTAATAATGTCGTTAAGATTATACAAGCGTATAATAATTTATTTTTAAAATTATTTTCCTTCTATAGTTTATAATATAGATAGAAATATAAAAGAACAGAAATAATAAAAATACAAAATGAAGTACGATAAGGAGATGCGCTCTCAACGGTACTATTTATTCTATCACTATAGTTTATTTTTATGAATCAGAGAGTAATTAGCATAAATTTAACTGGTACCTTCGACCACTCCATGGGCGTGCTCAAGATTAATTGAAAAATTACTTTGAATAATTGTAAAAAATAAATGAATTATTTCAGTGTTATAAAGTGTTATGTGTATGTAAACAAAAGTGACCTCTTTTATCACACACTATATTAGAACTGACTGGCCTACATTAAAAAGGGTTTTAAAAATTCACATTTTTTTTAATTTTTAAAAATTACAAAAGAGAAAAAGAGTTTTTAAAACCGTCTAAGGTATGTTAAATAGATGAATAAAAATATTAATATAAAACTTACAGCTACTTGTTACAAATCCAAATCAGATTCAGAAGATGAACTTTCAGAACCAAGATTTATAATAACTGGCTCGATCATTTTATCAGTAATATTGTCCAGCTTCCACATTTTTTCCTCTTCTTTAATAGTGTGATTTACTGCCTTTTCCCAGTTTTCAGGTTTTACATTATTTACGGCCTCCAAAAACAACTGTTTAACATCATGAATTTTAAAAGTGGTATTTTTTCTTGAAACTTCACTCTTTATCTGTGCCCATACCAGTTCAATCGGGTTTAATTCACAATGATATGGTGGGGATCTAAGTACTGTCATTCCACGATTTTTGGCAATTTCATCAATTTCGTATTTTTAAAATTTTTCTTTATGAAGGGCACACAACGAATAAAGTTCCTTTCTTATAGATCCGGGATGGTACGTAATATTTTTTGAACTCAGCCAATTCTGCAAGTCTTTTTTTAACCACTTGGTTGTGGGCAGTCCTTCTATAAGTCTGGAGTGATAACTTGCATTATCCATTACTATTACACAGTTCTTAGGAAGAAGATCTATCATTTGTTCGAACCATTCTTGAAAGACATCAGCGTTCATGTCTTCATGGTAGTCACCGGTACGAGTTGATTCAAAAGTTAATAAACCACCTTCAACAAAACCGTCTGAACTGCCAATGTGTACTATTATCAGCCTGCGTCCCTTTCCTGATGGTGGGTTTAAACCAGTAGATAAGTTATTTACAAAAGCGTGCCTTTGACTTGTAACAGTTTCATCCTGCCAAAATTTATTTGGTGTATGACCCTCGTTGATCCATGTTTCATCAAGATAAAATATTTTTCTTTTTTGGTTTCTCATTTCCTTTATGGTTCTTAGAAAATGTCTTCTCCATATGACAATATCGCTTCTTTCTAATAAAATAGACTTTCTGGGATTCTTTTTCCAGCGGAAGCCTATTTCTTTTAAAAGTTTCCATAACGTACTTCGACTCATTTCTGGGTAATCCTTATCATCTCGAACTGAGACAAGAACTTTATCCAATGTTGGAAATTCTTGTCTAAAGAAGAATTCATGCACTTTCCGTCGAAGTCCTTCTTTAAAATGATATTCTATTTGAAATTTTGGTTTCCCTGGAGCATTACGTGGCATTTGAAAACTACCACATTTCTCTTCTTTAATAACTCTGTAAATCGTAGATTTCCCAACACCAAGTGTACTGCTAACTAACTCAACGGTCTCATCAACACTTTCACATAAACGTTTGTCTGTAAATGATTTAAAACAATTAAATATTAATGTTTTTTCATTAACTGTTAAAGGACCAATTTTTCGGCGTTTACACGGCACTTCCAAATTTTCCATAACACTAGTATACACAATAAACTGCACCTTGCAACTGAAGTACCTACTTTTAGTGAACTGTTAAGAATTTTGAATACGCCACTTGGACCTTCCTACAAAATGGAAAAACCCACTATCACATTTTCTGTGGAATAAGTTTAGAAGGTAATTATCTAGTCAAT